ACGACGTAATTATAACGTAACCGCAACTAGTAAATATTACTTAATAGTCGACCCAATAGTCGTAATTACGTAATCGCGGCTATAAATGCTAGTTGGGTAGGGGGCGTGTCTTGTGCTGCAATAGGTTATATTTAGTAAAATCGCTTCCGGGCCTGTTGTGCTTCATCCTGAAATGAAGTGAAACAATCACAATAATCAACGAATAATATCCATGTTCAGTACTAGCGGAAACGTAAATATTGCTCGTTAAAGACAAAACTCATCAATCCTGAAAATGTAAATATTGAGCGTGACTATCATTGAGGGGTGGTGTGAAAATAGGTAAAGTATTGAGTATTTGTCTATTTTTACCATTTTCCTACGTCGTGCCATTTTCACACATGATGACATCTTGTAACGCAAATATTCAGCTTTTTGCGTCATGTCCATTCCAGATCCAGAATGCGAAACGTAAAAAGCAAAATGTAAAAAGTTTGGTTGTGAACGCAGCTTTAGAGCTGTGTTGAAAGGAATGTGTCAAGTCAACTAGAGCTGGGCGATATTGAGAATTAGATATCGAATATGGATTTTCGAAATATATCGATATATCGATTATTCGACGTGTCTGAAAGTTCAAATATTTTAATATTCGATATATCGAAGAGTTGTCGAAAAATCATATAATACACTTCAGTTATAAATGGAAACTTTCAAATTTAACATGTTTGGGAAACTTCATATAGGTAGTAGACCTAACGAACCCTATGTCGACAAAAAGCTTTCAAAAATAGCCATGCAATAGTGCAATAAAATACCTACAGGGTTGTTGCATTTGAGAAAGCCGAGTTATTACCATTTGTACTTATTGTCATTAATACAAAAACGTAGTAGGCGATAGAACATGGAATTCGGGTTTTCTTGCATTTCAAAAGATCAGCAGGAGCTCGAGGGATCGACTGAAAAAGAGTTTTCTTGGATGTTGGATGGGTTCTCAAGATACACATTTTTCTGTGGGTCCATACACAAAGCTATTTTGACACATAAAACAAGTCAGAGACAACTTTTGTTATCGTGAAAACACTAGCTGGCTTTCAATTCTGATTGTAACCATGGATAATAGCGATAGCGAAGCGAAGTCTGCCAGTTTGGCATAAAATAATTATAGCTGTACAAAGAAAGAGAATAAGGAATGCTCGAATCCAGATATAGCACATATACCTTTCGAGGGCAAGCATGCGGACGTCTTTAGGACGTCCTCCTGTTACCAATCTCCACATCCTTATAACGTCTCAGGACATCCCTATAAGGTCTTCTGGGACATGCAATAGTTCAGTGGGGTCAAGGGGTAAATTTTTTAACAGTGGGCTCAACAATGCATTATGAATATTATATGTCATACGAGGTCAGTGGTGATTATCACACCATGTCATCACCAAATTTGAACGTCATGTTGACGTCATTTCGACGTTGGTCCGACGTCACAGTTTGGTGAGTGAATGACTCCAATAAACGTGAGTAATTATGACGTCATTGGGTTGTGACTTATTCACGTCATGTCACCTTGTGTCATCTGGTTGCCTGGGATATAAGTTACCTGTGACTCAAATACATTTAATACCACACAAAAAATGTGTGCCCTGCTGCATGTAAAAACCATATACGTATTAATAATCAATACGGATAATCTCTATCTGTTTCCATAGCGAAACATGAAGCCGATTTTTGAAGACAAATGACTATCCATAAGGAAAAGTTTTGAAACGATCAGACACATACTGCTTTGATTGAAAGGATAGTAAACGTCATTGTCCACCGAAACGCATGTCTTTGATGAGTACTATAATAGCGCATGGCGCATGCGTATCATGCCACCAAATCCTTATGGATATTCATTTGTTTCATATTTTTGGCTTCATCCTGGCACCCGTTATGATCCGTATTGTTTATTAATACGTATCATATACGTATCATATACGTATTAATAAACAATACGTATCATAACGGGTGCCAGGATGAAGCCAAAAATATGAAACAAATGAATATCCATAAGGATTTGGTGGCATGATACGCATGCGCCATGCGCTATTATAGTAGTCATCAAAGATACATGCGTTTCGGTGGACAATGACGTTTACTAGCCTTTCAATGAAAGCAGTATGTGTCTGATCGTATCTCACTTTTCCTTATGGATAGTCATTTTTGTCTTCAAAAATCGGCTTCATGTTTCGCTATGGAATATATGATACGTGTATGGTAAAAACATGTATTATTTTGGCAGTTGGCACCTTATTTTTAGTTTCACGTTCAGTGTTGCCAGAGCTGGTACATTTGTATAGAATATAGATTCAGTACTATTTATACCCTTTAGTACATTAGTACATTTCACTCAATTCTGGTACAATTTCATATTTGGTCAGTACAATCAGCTCAAATTTAGTACAATTGAATATTTATCACACAAAGCTACAAAGATAAACAAAAGTTTGAATCACTGACAGATTATCTGCTTCTTATTATTTCATCAGTTGGCCTAACTGATGGCTATCAACCAACCAGCTGATGGCTGATGACCATATAATGAGAGACATCATGAATTGAATAACGAATACCATCCAGTGACTTCAATCATGACTATTCATGACATCACACTTCAACTATAGGTACTGTTTTCTGATGTTTTTTTTTTCAAATATTTGGTATACAGGTACATAGAGGCGCTGGATGGTATTAGTTTGATAAGAGTTCGGACACAGAAATGACAACGGTTAGGGTTTTTGAATGTTTAGATTTATGAAGTTACACACCTTGCATTGTGACAAGAGCACCATGGTCTTCCCGCGCTTTTTCATTCAAAATTGTTTGAATTTGACAATTAATTTTATAAACGTCGGAATTGAAATAAAATTTCATAATTATTATACTTTCGAGATAAGAGCAACTATGGAAATCACTTGCTGTGTAATAAATTGTGCCAATTTAGAAACAAATGGATATCATTTATTCGATTTTTCAAATCAAATATCAAGCGTTCTCTTATGGAAGGAAGATATGAAACGTCCTGGGCGGAAAATCAATTTGAAGACGAGCGAAATTTTTGAGGTACTCATTGAAATTCAATTCTTATAACAGCATCTGATTAGAATGAATCTATATTTTAGGGCCATTTTCAAACAGAAGATTTCAAAATCTGTTCGAGAGAATCTGCTGCTCCATCAATTTACAAAGCAGACGATTTCAAGAACAAAATTCCATTATTATCATCACACAAAATACAAAACAAAATAATCATGGAAAAAGGGGAAATGATCGCAAGATTACATTATGAAATTGAAAATTTGAAAACGAAACTAAAAAAAGCAAGTAAACTACAACGTGATATATTATTGAATGGCGTTTTTGGTGCTGACCGAATTCAAAATTCAACAGTGTAAAGTGAATACATATTTATGTATCAAGGGAATTATTATAAGGGCCTTAATTACGCTGGAGGTCATCATCGTTTTGGAGATATTTTCTATATCGATCCATGTTACTTAGCTCCTAGGGCGCTAAGTGAAGTTGCTGAGAACTTTACAAAACCAAGTATTTGGTAGGTCTCGTCAAAATAAATAACTTTTTTCCTATGAGATCTTTATCGAAAGATAATTTGTTTTCTGTATTTCAACACCCTAGCTGTATCTCCGCATTTCCAGGCACAAGCTTGTATAGACTTTATTTCTCAAAATTGTCTCAGGAATACATCACTGGAGTACAGTTTCACATACAATGAGGAATTATAGCTATAAGTTTATGCATATGTATATATTTTCTGATATTAAAATGTTGTTACATGCATTTTTTTTATTTATATAATAGTTGCTCTGCTAGAAGTATATCACTATGAATTGAAGTGGGTGTTTTTACCCTATATCCATTGTCCATCTACGGCTATGATTGATTTGACAGAAAATATAACCTCTAAAATCGTATGTGACAATCAGGTGCTACTAGGGAAATTGAAAAGACGAAGAGCAGAATATATGTCTTATTCTTTTATTCACTTAAACCATTGTATTATAGAAAATAGAAAAGGACAAAAGTTCAGCTGTGTCCGAACTCTTATCAAACTAATACCATCCAGTGACTCTACAGGTACATACACTCATCTTCTAAGGATGATGCTGTATATAGAGGGTGTCCCTGAAAGATATGTACAAAATCTCACCTGGGGTCGAAATAATCCGATTCAAAGCAACTTTCATCCCAAACCGAAATTGCTGCTTTCCTGCTTTCCGAGATACACGGTGGGAATGTATTTTGAAAAATTCATTTCTGCACTGCTAATTCACTGACCAATTAGATCCACGAAGATATATAACAGCATACATTTTTTATTCAAAATAATTTAAATATTCCGGTGCAGCATCGAACATTAAAAACCAAAATATCTCGAAATCGACTCACTTAGCGGATTATAACGCGAGTGTCTTGTTTGCTTGAAAATGTACAAAATATTATTTTTTCAACTAATAAAGATAGAAACTACACCTAGAAAAAAGTTATTTTCATTCTTGAACATGAGAAGTGCATTTGGTAACTGCCCTCTAATGAACACAGTGAAAAGGTGCGCCCGTATTCGTATTTTGCATCTCAAAAAACTCCGAATTATCAATTTTTGAAATAATACGTAAAAAAAATTTCATAAACTCTGAGAAATCTGATTTTTTCCTTCAACTTTACCACCCTGTATCTCGGAGACAGAGCAACTTCGGAATGAGGTAAGTTGCTTTCAATCGGCTCATTCTGACCTCAGGAATATGTGCTGAGATTTTGTACAGACCTTCCATATTTTTTTATTGATTTTTTTTACATATATAATATAGTAATCTAGTTGAATATTATGTTTTGTATCTTTTTGACTATGTGCTTGATTGATCATTTTTTCATTATATGTATATGCATGATGTAGTCTTTTAGGGTCAAGAAAAATATCACCTTTGTTCATCAATTTTCTCATTGATTTTTTCAAAATTCCATGTCGGGTACTTTTCACCTCTAGTTTTAGTACAATTCATTTACAATTGGTTTTTTTCTTCTGGCAACACTGTTCACGTTCGAGCGTTTTTGTTTGGTCGTTAGAGAAACATACCGATAGGGAGACTCTTGTGTCCGGCAACACTGCTTCATCCTGATGGGATTCTGGGATTCACTCATGTCAGTATAGTGAACAAATCTTTTTGGTGTTTCATTACTTTTCTAGTAATTATTTTATTGCAACTGATTTCAAGTGAAAAAAATCGAAATGGACAGTCTGCTCGCACGTGTCGACCGTTTATCATTATCATTAGGGCAACGGAAAGAATTCGTACCAATCCAGGTAAACAAAAATCCATCAGTCATAAGCGATCTCGTAAGCGATTTATTCCGGAAAACTTCCAAGTACGCACGTTGGCGTGCTGTGGATATAGATGAACCGTATACCTTTGTCGAATTAAAGTCAGGTTCAGTGGATTATACAATTCTCGAGAAGAAGTTTCTTAGTGGCTTAAAATATCCAAAAAGACGAGTAGTCAGGATTGTGGAGGTACGTAACCCCTTTCTTTATCTCCAGTACGAACTGAAACTCACACAAAAAAAGAAACTTTATGGGTACATATCAGAAAAACAACTCTATCATGGCACGAAAGAATGTAACGTCGATTCGATTTGCGAAAAAAATTTTGATTGGAGGAAGATTGGTGCAAATGGTATGCGTTCCAGCAAATTTGGCATGGGAGTGTCCTTTTCTCCATCTTCACAATATGCTTCTGATTACCCCAGACGGTGTTCAGATTCCCCCCGAGCTATGATAGTAGCCAAGGTTATGGAAGGTCATCGATGCAATGGTGTGGAGTTCATGGTGATTCCCCCATTACCAGCGGATACTTCGGTGAAACCCGGCGATGGAAATGTGGTTGTCAAATATTTTGACAATGAATTTTATCCGGAATATATCATTTATTATCGTTGAATGATAAGTGGACGATGAAATGTATAGGGTGGTGTTTGAAGAGCCGTTAATGTTATTTCCTTCTCAGTATTGAGTAGACCGTCTGTGATGATTTTTAAGTTTGATTTTGAATTTTAAGTTATATGTTGCTATTATCAGAACCAATGATAAATTTTTTAAGTGTTGTTATTGAATAAGAATAAGTATGTATAGGTACTTATCTACCTGAAACTTTTCATGTTCAAGTAGGTATTAGAACAAATTTGTTTTTCATTTATGCACACTGCACCATATCATAAAGGAGGGTTCATTTTGGTATTGATTTTTTTTATATTTCATTTCAAGGAGATATTGTGTACCTACTTTGGTTTTTACTTCTGATTTTCAGAATTTATTGCTTTCTTTATGGAGCTCCTGTTGGTACATACCTACCTCTGTATTGTGTCTGTCTTTATGTTTTGAAGTGTTGAAACAAATGTTTATGAAATATACCGTTTTTTTATGATTTTTGAATAAAAAGAAAATTTCTTAAATGAAACTGTTTCATTTGTAGTGGCATGTCAGGACTAGGGGTGGGCGATAATGATTTTGAAATATCGATTATCGATAATCATAATCTATCGATATTATCGATAATTTTTCTACAAATTATTATCGATAATTATCGATATATCGATAATTTTTCCCACCCCTAGTCGTGACAAGGGTATTTTTATAAAACTAATTTTTTATATTTACTTTCTGGTTTCTACGTAGGTATAATAAACAAAGCCATTTTGTCATTATGTTATTTTTCAAGGAATGAGCAATCGAATGATGAAATAAAAATATTCCATATAATTAGATAACCCACCTTACTTGATACTTGTTACTCGTTCAACACATAACTAACCAATAAGTTTGCCACCACAACTAATAAGGGTTGCCACGTTGCCAGATGTCAGATAGCTTCATGCAAGTTGCTGTGCTGGAGTCCTATGTTGTTTGAACAGGGCTGATGTACAGGGTGGCGTGTCTTATTATATTCTTCATTCTTACTTCAATTCTTACCAACAAGTATCTGTTTTATACAGGGTGTTCCATATAAGAAACAAAAATACCTATGTTTCTGATGCTCATTCATTTTGATAATTTTTATATCATTGGTTATATCGGTAATTTCGATAATTTTGATATCATCGACATTATTGATTATCGATATTATCGATAATATCGATAATATCGATAATATCGATAATATCGATAATATCGGAGATATCGATAATTATCGATAATATCGATAATATCGATAAATCGATAATTTTTCTCCAAATTATTATCGATAATTATCGATAATTATCGATTTATCGATAATTTTTCCCACCCCTAGTCAGGACAGGATTATCACATTTTTGTACTCGTGCTATTGCCACTGAACTATACCCTACTATACCCTATTTTCATTTTTCGAAGACAGTTATCAAATGTTGACATTTGAACACAAAATACTTCGGCGTTATTTTGCCGAGCTTCGTAAAAATTATCATTCAAAAATATTTTTTTTCTTTGATGGAATTAATATTTTTATCTGGAACAGAGAAAATAGACAACAGACTTTGAGGCTCAAAAAATTGAAATTTTGTTCAAAAGGTGAAAAAGGGTAGCAAGTACACATTCTCACCAAATGAAATTAAATTATACATATAAATATAGGTAGGTGAATAATGCTAATATATCTTTCACCTCGTTTTTCACTGAGTAATAATATTGAAAACATTTAATAAAACATTGAATAGGCAACTACATTTTTATTCAATAATTACCAACCGAAAACATTTTTTTAAGGCAAGATAGACGCAAATACATTTTAGGAAAGACAAAATGAAATACATTCTGTTATTCATTAAACATTTTTTGTTATTGGAATATGTGAAATTTTCATTGGAGAAATGATCTTCACATATACAGTTGGCCTGGCTAAGTTTCTCAACTTTAGGATCTCTACCCAGTGCCTGCATCCATGAGGAATATCTCTGTCAAGCTGAAAACACAAAAAATATAATGTTTTTCTAAAACCTATCTATATTCATATATACTAAGGTAAAGCAGGATTTATAGATTCAACTGAACTGAGAATTAAACTAACAACTGTGAACTCAGGTCAGTTATATTAAGAATTACAAAGTTGGCCAACTTTCAACTCAACAACTGAGAATTAGGAGATTCTGGAGACATAACATGAAGATTGGATTCATATTATTGTTCAAGTGGAGTTTGGTGTGATATTTTTTCTTATGGATTCATGAATTGTGGGGACCAAAACCACTTGTTAACATCATTTTGATTTTTAATCAAAAGACATTTCACATCTAATTCCCAAATTATCTCAGATATGTATTAACACCCTTATGATTATTAACTGTTGATTGTTAATTCCTAATTGTAGTTCTGAAAAATTGTTGTTCTTATTATCAGCTATATACTGGTATGAATTCACATCTATATTATTCTAGTACATTCGAGTTTGTTTGATAACTTACTTGAAATAGGATAAACCTTGTTTTCTTTTCCGATTTCGGCACAAGAACACCATGCATCCCTGGCCCATATTGTCTAATAATAGTCTTCAAACTGATAAGTCACCAAAATCACGATCACAACTCAAAAATATAAACGAAACTCACGAAACAAACAAACAAACAATAATAACGGTGTGGCAGATGATGGGCACAAAAATATTCAAGCCTCTCCTGATGGGATCACACCTAATCAACGACATACGTCTGCGGCTGTAAGAAATTTCAATAATCACGGACATTCTTTTCATATCTTGGTTCTACTGCGCCGACGCAGAACCTTAAGGTCAAGATCTCCTGGGAGGCGTAAAATTTTCACGCGCAGGTGGCTGCATCAGCATTCCATTTGTAGGGTATAGTTCAGTGGCTATTGCATACTAGATACGAAGTACAGGGTGGGCAAAATTGGACGTTTTCACGGGCTATAAATCAATATCTATCAATAACTAAAGGGGTTATCGAAAAACCGATATACATGTCATGGGTTCGATTTTAGAGAAACCTTAAATGGCGCATTCTGAACTTTGATATCTTCATTCGTTTCAGAGATACAGGGGGAAATTGGAAAATTGCCGATTTTATTTTTATTTTCTGACTGCTTTATGGTGGGAAATATTGAAAATTTCATATAGCATGATGCGAACAATTATTCGCACCATTATAAGTTCTATACAGGGTGACATCAAAAAGATACGCACCCAATTATATTTTTTCTTATGGAACACCACGTATATTTTGGCATAGTTAGATAGTCCTAGGCGTTCCAGTTAAATATACAGGGTGGCCCACGGTCGATGGTACCTTAGACGTATACGGAAAACGGTACATTGGATTATCCTGAAAATTCGGTTACTCTAATAAGCGTTTGTGATCTAACGATTCAAAATATTTTCAGCGAAGCAGCGTTGCCACTTTTACCAAAAAGTAGCATCATCTTTGTTATTTCAAATGGTACACCCTGTATTTTATTAAGTTTTTAGATTCTTTTCGAAGAGCTGATTTCATCAATGTATCAAACTTGGGGTCTAGCAGGAATTATTACAGAGATATAGGGTGTTCAAAATCGAGATTTTTCAACTTTGGGATTTTTTTGTGTCGAAACTTTTCATCATTGGTTAAAACGGCTTGCATGTCCCTATATTAACTTTTGATTAACTATCTACCGACATTTAATTGGAAAAAATACAGGATGGTCCAAGATTCAGAATTATGATCACCCTGTATCTGTTCCAATTAAATGTCAGTAGATAGTGGATCAAAATTTAAGATAGGGACATGTAAGCCGTTTTGATCGATAATGAATAGTTTCGACACAAAAAAATCCTGAAATCGAAAAATCTCGATTTTGAACACCCTATATATCTCTGTAATAATTCCTGCTAGACCCCAAGTGTGATACATTGATGAAATCAGCTCTTCGGGTAGAATCTAAAAACACAATGAAATACAGGGTGTTCCATTTGAAATAACAAAGATGATGCTACTTTTTGGTAAAAGTGGCAACGCTGCATCGCTGAAAATATTTCGAATCTTTAGATCACAAACGCTTATTAGAGTAACCAAATTTTCAGGATAATCCAATGTATGTACCATTTCCCGTATATACGTCTAAGGTACCATCGACCGTGGGCCACCCTGTATATAACTCTACCTTTTTCTTCCACAACTTCAGAAATAATCGCGAAAATATTCTCAGCGTGTCACATTTTTCATAGTTACACCTCCGTATCTTCCGCAATAATCATTGAGGTTGGATTCATAAATTCGCAACTGTGAGAGGGATGTCAATGATACACTATCGAGGACCTAGAAGGAATAACTCCAGTGATAACACACTGCTCGCCAGCAGCTATGGAATCACCAAGATTTTTGGAAAATGCTATCAAAAGGAAGAATATTCAATATTCAAATATTTTATTTCCAGGCAAATGAATATTTAAGATACAAAAATAAGACAAATTGTAATTTACCTAATTAGGAAATTAGTAGGTGACGTTGAAAAATATAGTTTCATGAAAGATGTTCAAATTCAAGATACAGAAGCCAACATTTGTGTCTTATGGAATAGTGCGGCAGGGTTGGATAGTCCCAGAGACTTTTCAATTTTAAATATATATCTTCCACAGCTTCGGGAATGATTGCGAAAATAAAGGCATACTGAAAGAAATGGATAAAGCATCATGTTCTAGCATTCTTCCACAAAATATTTGATTGATAATGTTTCTATCAATATTATGTATCGAATTATTGTAATGTCACGGACTTCAATGCAAACATATATTCTCATGATAATTTCGTCACGAGCCAGCTATGCCTGTACGATATTATCTTTGTATAATAAAATATAGTTATCCATGAGTAGATGGCTTTGGAAATGACAAACATGTAATTCATTGCCGCTGTTGTACCCCTTCGTGTACTAGGTTGCCTATACCCAGCCAACCATGAGATGTATAAGTGATGTATACGTCACATCACTTTGTGACATGCGATATCGCATTTGAAGTCACAAACATGTTACCGATACAACGTGGCGATGTGAAAAAGTCCGACTCAAGCAACATCACTGTGACGTCGTTCAGACATGCAATGCGACATCAGATGAAAAATCACTACCAGGTCACATACAAGTGTACATTTCATATTACAAATACATCACACTGCGACATCGATGATGTGGTCGCCGTACCTGTGATATTCGTGGGATATATAATAATAATAATTATTCAACTTTACGAATAAAATGTTTATTTTCCGAAAGTAAAAGCAGATGATATTCATAAATGATACATATCAAATACACTTACATTATCCTGGGATCCTTCATCCACCTTGTTTTAGATTGCAATATTCCTATCTCAGAGATAATCACAATATTACCTAATGTGATTGAACTCACCGTCGTTCCTAAATGATTGTATACCTCCAATTTGAAGCTTCTATAATATGTGCTCTATGAATCATCTCAGATAT